AGTGATCGAACACAAAGTAAATAAGCGATTTTAATAAATTAGTTAACGGATGGAATAATTATCCTCACTTGATTCATTCAATTGTTAGAATTATTTAAACGTACAGTGAGTTGAAGAGTATTTTACACGAATTTTTAGTGTAGATTCAGTAGTACAGCCACATATAGTTCAGACGTTTCACGATGAATAAATAGTTGACTAATAAATAGACCAATAAGTATGTAACGGTACTAACGATCGATATAGTTTATATTTTAGAGAAATGATTTTTAATAAGCCCTTCTCTCTCTCTATTTTAATTATTCCAACGTTTCATATTCTATTTTTTAAAACTAAACTTTCTTTTCTATACAACGCTTCAAGCGCACTTTATTATCTTCCACTACTTGAATGTTTTCGAATCAAAGCACCGAGACTACTTCACAGGTAAATCCAATTTGTTGTTTCCAGCTACTTAAAAAAAGTTTTATAAAACAACAAATATAAAACTGAAAAGTTTGTAATCCCTTGATTCGTGGGTTCTTTGAACTGTTTAATTTACCTTCCTCTGCCTCAGGAATGCTATAAAAATATATATACATGTATATATACTTTTTTTTTATTTTCAAGCACTCATGTGTTTGCATTAGTGATGAATAGACGTCAGAAGAATCTATATCACGTACACTGCATACTATCTACCATGGGCTGTCGACTGTGGTTTCATATTATCTGATAACTCTGGTACTTACTCATTGATGAAGAACCTATTGAAAATAAAAAATAAAGGAAAAATGAAACATATGCATTGAAACATAAAATATTAGTATCTACTTTTATGCTTTCATTTTTCTTTTATCATTTTTCGGTATCAATATTTTTTTGTATCGAGATTATCTGTAGTAAAAAAATTTTTTTTATAACAATAATAATAATTTATTATTTGGAGCTTTCTGTCCTAAAAGTTTTCATGTAGTTATTATAATATACTATAATATATAATTAGATAGTTATTTAAATATCTATAGTATTACTACTACAAATAAAAATGGTCCGTTTTTCCTTATTACCGTAATAAATTTGGATTATAATAAAATCATCTCTATCAGTCGCTGAAAATGAATTATTATTATAATGAAACTAATATCTACTGAGATAAATATTTTCCAACACCTTTAATCGACTTTCATTACAAAAAATTGGACCTTCATTAAATATTTAAATCCATCGGTTCAACAGATGAAATGGATTTTAACCATTCGTCTGTAACTTTTATATTCATTGATTATCATATCAATAATTACGAATAATTACCCAGACATAAAACTGGATGAATATCATCGTTTTTGTATTACATAAAAGCATTTAATTGTTATTTTTATTATAAATACTTTAGCAGTAATATTCGATGTACTCTCTTTTATTGTAGATATTTTTTTTTTATTGAACGGCTTGGTGGTGTACGGAATAACGCACGGCTTAGTCGATATAATGGTTTCTAGGATTTCCCAAGTGAAAACGAGTTACTGCGTTTTCAAGCCACGAGGGCGAGACTTCAGTGTCCATTTGATATATAGTGGAATTTTACTTTTCCTCGTGTGCCATCGGATTCGCTGTTGTGTTGTTGTGCAGTAAAAATCGCATTAGTTGTAGTGATAATGATGTTGGTATAGAAATATAACAATAATATAAAAAAAAATGATTATAACAACAATAATAATACATATTGTGTTTCATGTGTAACACAGACGGGATGAAAGTGCCTTACAGTAGTAGTATAAATATACTTTCACCTATATATTGTTCGGGCTACTATACTGGTAACCTATCAACCCTGCAAATTGGAAGAAAAATGAAAAACTAAATAACGTGAGCGATAGACTACGAATAAATTCGCAAAATCCCCTTCTTTATTTTTCTATATACGTACAAATATGTTCTATAGATGTTCACATCCATAAGTTATATGTATAGTTATAAAACCGTTGGGTCCATAGGAGTTGTATGAAATTTGACTTCTCTTGACCTATCGAACATTCGTTTTACTTTAGTATTTATTCCATTTATTTCAATAAATATTTTTATTTTATCTATTGTCTATCACAGTATGTACGTGTTGTATATTTTTTTTTAGTTTTTTTTTTCTAATCTGCCTCGCGCAGTCGATCGTGATTAATATACCTTTTTCATGTACACTTCTCGCTTTCATTTTCATTATTTTGAAAAGCAAAAAAAATTGGGATAAAAAAAAAGATTGCGACACACAAGGACAAACGAATTTTTAATCACAGAATAAAGCGGCTTTGTATCAGCATTAATAACGCAATACTGTATTGCTTTTGACGTAGTGAAGCTTACGTTACACGTAAAATTATATTAAAGCTCAAAACAACAATATCATTTTTTTCCGATGCCATTTATTAATTTTTATTGGTCTTCCAAACGTTTGTGTAGAAATTTAACCAAAGAGAATTTTGTATAAGTTATTATTATTACTTATTATGAAAATTACTTTTTATCGAAGAGAACACCCTAGAACTCAATAGAAAAATTTACCTTTGAAATCTTCAAAGTCACAATACTAATTTTTTTTGGCCCTTAGATGTTTTTACACGGTTTCTTCTTCAAAGTAACTTTTATGAGGTTTACGTAAGCGACGGTAGATATTATATACAACATTTAACTATTATAATAATTAGATGTTTAAATTATACAATTTTTAATAATTGTATACGAGTTAATTAAAATAAAAGACATTGTTTGTGCTTCTTTTGATGTTAAAAGTACTGGAAATTCTTCCCTTATATCATAAGATTGTTTTAGTTTAATTGTTAGTATTTCATCTATTGTCAACCAGAAACATGCACTGTTGGAGAAATATATATCAAGGTAGAGAAAAAGTGACATAAAAGAGTGTTGCATAGACTAGAAGAACGCATTATTTAACAGAAGCCAAAGTTTATCTGATAGGCTTCGATTGCTCCCTGGTGTAAGATATAAATTTTACTGATGGATTCTAAATTTCAGTTTAGCCAGAAATTATTTATTACGATCATAAGTATTATATGTTTTAGATTTTAGTACTGAAATTAAAAATTTGAAAGATCTAATGGCCCATGTCTCATATATTTTTCATAACTGAATATTTCTGTGCAAAAAATAAACATCTGTACAGTAAAAGTTCGTGCATTAAGATTAAATATTACAACCTTAATCGATTTTTATTAAAAATGGATATCTTAAGATACTGACAAGATAAAATTCGACTCAATTGAAAATCACCGAGTTATTAAGACACGAAAATATGTAACCTATTTTACATTTTATCTGCAATAAGCAAAATACTTATCAGTATTAAAATTTATAAGCTCGAAATGACAAGACCGTATTTATTAAAAATTCCTCCTGAATGTATTTATTTTCGATAAAAAATTTAGCTTGAGGCAAAAAGGTCCATACCAGTCGATATTTTCTCGTGTTGTGAGTTTGATCACTCAAAGTGGGGGTCAGCATGACTGAATCCTGACGGAAACTAACCCCGGATTGATTCGAGGATGGTAACATAGTATAGTGATATAGCAAGCACGGAAGCTGACTAACTCTAGGTTCGAACGGGGACTGAGTGCGGGCAGGTGGCCGCGAATATATGTGGGAATATTGTAGAGAATATTGTGACACTGTAGCGTAGAGTGTAAAGAGCGAGGGAAAAGGACACGAGAATTTTGAACAGAGCTATCGTAAAAGCAAGACAGACAAAAATATACATATATACTCTACTCGAATAGGAATGCAGGAGATCGGCTTTGACCAGCCAATTCAGCATCAACTATACGAGCACTCAACCGCAAATCGAGTTCCGGTCAAAGGGGGATCGAAATAAAATCGGTCTCGCCGCCTGCGACCATACTGTATACCATCAGACACTCATACCCTAGAGCGCGAATAGGATACCTATTCACGTTATCCCAGTACTTGTTTAAGCGGCAGCGGTGGTAGTAGTTGCCTTTAGTAAGACATTATCCTGTGCGAGAAACGTGTTTTACCCCCCCCCCTCCCTCTTTACGGTCTCACCCCAATACATGCCAGAGGCGCTCGGAAGTACGGGGTAGATTGAGCTGGTGGTTTTAGGGGATGATTGAGAGAGACACGAGGCAGCTTAATGGTCGCGATGACTACGAATAGTGCAAGCCCGCGCGTTCCTGTCCTCCATGGCTTTATACTTTACTTAGCTTCCACTTCCACTTCCGCCGGATACAATGTTTTGCGTTATCATTCTGCTTTATTACGGATACGCGGTACACTCTGGGCTATAGTAACGGTTCCCTGTGAGAGACCAGCCTGATTTATACCGGGGTGTGACCTTTCACTTCTCGTCTTCCCTTTTATTTTTTCTTTATCGCATTTCTTCCGTTATATCCTCGGCGCACAATATATCCCTTCACTCATACGACATTTAGGATGCAGGGGTTACTTGAATAACATGCTATAAATGTCGAGTCTATTAAATAGTGCCCCAGCTTTCTCGTTTATCGTTATCCTTAACCCCTCCTTCTCTTTTACTATTTATATTTAAATGATTCATTTTGATGAAATTTATAAATGGATCCATTTATTTAAATTACTTATCTTACTTTTAGAAATGAATAATGATCATGAGAATATTCGTAAATTGACACCGATAGTTCTCTAAGTAACACCTCTTTATTATATTCTCATGCATATTTAATTGTATAACTATAGACAGTTTCAAAAATTGACAACGTGTCTTTTTTTAACTTTAAATGCTTCTATTGTATTCATATTGCACTTGTACTTTAATTAATATGAGTGTACACCGATAGAAAGAAAAATACTGCTCAGATTAGATCTTCAGATGTAATCATTTGGTGATTATTCTAAATGTCAATATATTGATAATATTGAGCATGTAAGATCAATTATTGTCAGCAAATTGACAAATCATCGGAGATGAACATCATCGACTAAGTAATGAGGGGCCTATTCACCTTGTACGTAGTTAGCATAATGTTGATAAATTGATAAACTTGTTTTATCTTGTTCCAGTACCACCGGATATAATCGATCACGAGACCAGCACAGACATGATTGTTAGAGAGGGTAGCAATGTAACTCTACGCTGCTCAGCAACCGGGTCACCTTCTCCTAATATTACCTGGCGTCGTGAAGATAGCAAGATGTTCGTTGCAAATGATCAGAAAGGTAAATTGTATAGATAATCTGTATGAATACTAGTTTATATTAATCACTATTTAATTACATTACCAGATACAAGAAAAAGAATTGTTTTTAATATTAAATGAATATAGAATATTTTATTTAAAAAATCAATGGTCGGATATCAAGAAATAAAAGTAGAACAAGTTTAATGAAAAGTTATTTAATTATTTACTATTTTCTTCGTTCGTTTAAAAACTCTGCAACCCAGGTAGGAAAGAACAACTGGGCAAGGTTTGGACCAAGCCTTGGCCAAGCGTCTCTAGGATTATACAAGGCTTGGCACGTGCCTTGGCTGAGCATTGGGCCAAGGATTGGTCCAAGCCTTGGATGATAACCATGTCCCCAGCCTTGGGAAACCAAAACACGAGTCTTGGGAAACAAATGGCTCAGGGCTCGGACCAAGCCTTGGGGAACTAATTTGCCAGGACTAAAAAAAATGCAAACATTATTAAAAAATTAAATTTGATTTTAATTGTATTCGTGATTTTACGGTTTATTATCAGCTTTACGTTATCGTATCTCGCGATTACACCAGATTACCTTGAAAAAATCTTTTCTCCCCTCCGTGCGGAAAGCGTCAATTTTCCGCTCGCTGCGCTAAACGAAAATGCCGCTTTCCGCCTCCGTCGAGGAGAAAAATAGTATTCTCACCACGGGCAGGAAATAAGAAAGCCTCAGATCACATGTTTGTTGACCTCGGCTTCGCCTCGGTCAACAATTACATGTAATCTGAGACATTTCTTAATTTCTGAAACATTTCCGAGGTAAGAAAAATACTATTGCTCACGATGGGAATCGAACCTGGGTCACTCGCGTAAAAGTCTCGAACTGTACTGACTTCGCTGCACTTCGTAGTAACACTAACAGATTAGTTTTAGTTACTTAAACATCACTCAGTCATTTTGCTTTATTACATGATGTTCCATAATTAAAATTGAACTTATAACTGCTAAAAATTTTGTATAGTTCAGATAATATAATTTGTTGACAGAATACAGTTATGAAAAGTATTTTTTTTTAATTCATTTGATTTTAACGAAATAATTAAATTTTCTATTACCAAAAATAAATACATGATCATAATTTTGAGCAGTTTCGAGAGTTTTATACATTTTTCAGCAACAAAGAAATGATAGTTAAAAATAATTTGTCAACGATTAATAACTATATTTATTAAAATTTTTTTGTTGACAAGTCATTTATTAAATTCTATTAAATTCTTTTATCAGTGTTCGAAGCATTGGGCTAAGTATCGAACCGTGTTTGTCCGTGGTGATTTTTCAAGGCTTGGTTGAAATGTATCGAGACATTGGGCCAAACATCGGACCAGGCCTCGGCCAGTTGTGATCTCCCAAAGCTTGGTTCCAAAATATTAAACCATTGGGCCAAGCTTCAAGCCAGGCTTGGGCCAGTGGTGTACCCCAAGGCTCGGCTTGAGAATGTCGAACCATTGGGCCAAGCCTCGGGCCAGGCCTGGGCCACTGGTAACTTACCAAGGCTTGGCAAAGTAACAAATGGTCCAAGGCTGGGCCATTTGTCAGCATTGGCAAACCCTACCTGGGAAGGTTCATTAAATTTACAGTTTATTTCCGTCTTATTTTGCTAATCTCAAAGTGTAATATTGGGAAACTTTATATTAATTGACTTGACTTGTTGTGAAGTGATCCAATTTGCTATGACATTTGGTTGAAACTAATTTTGAAAGTTCCTAATGAAAAAAAAAAAAAAAAAAAATGATTAGCATTGAAAAAACGTTAACCGCAAGTGATTTTACCTTATTAATTTATTATTTTTAAATAACATTTCAAAAACTTTCTATTCACCTCAAAGGGAATGTAACCTCAAAGCTCAAGGTGAAAAACTAACTGAGAAAGTGCTGCAATAAAAGAAGTATAAGTAAATAAAACAGAAGTTTGCTTGGTATTTTACTACATCTACTCTTTCTTAAATTTTTTACCGTGTAATAAAATAATAAAAAAGTAGTATGACACTACTGAGAAGCAAAACCGTAAAACAGTTCTGTGATCCATTTGTTACAAACCAGAAGTACTTCCACCGTGTATTTGCATTGAAATTGGCAAACAAGCGTTAGACGCATACACGGTTTTCCCCCGAGGCGATAATATGAATAAATCGGTAAGCTCTCATACTCTTTCTATTCCTGTACCTGATACATATATATTCCCAATTATCAATGCGTGAAATCAACAAATTCGCGGGTAGTTACAACGCGAGTTTTAAAAAAACAATTGTGAAACTAACAAAAAAAAAAGTTTATTTAATTATTAGTTTAAATATTTTTTTTCGTCGACACCGCATTTTTATTGCAGCAGCAAATATTTGTGTTTTTCATTATAATACATATGCAAACTACGATTTAGGTATAAAAGTTGGATTTACATTATAGAGAGGAGTTTGATTTTCCAATAAAATAAAATTTAAAAAGATAGTAAAGTGAATGGAAAAAAAGTGAGTAATTTAACGATTGAATTAAGTCAGGACATTAGTTTTATGGTCTGTAAGGTTCGCGTGTAACAGCTCTGACATAGTGAAACCCAAGCGATAGCCAGCTTATCAGTTATATAAAGCAGGTTTGGGCAAAATGGGCAGCTTAAGGAAATAGTCTATATATGATGATTTAAATGACATTTTAAATTAATTCGTGAAATCATTTTTTCAAATATTACTTTTGTTAATCATTTTTTTTTAAATGACAATTTTTTAGTTAAAATAAATTCGTATTTAAGGCTTGTGAAGAGCGATCTGCTGTAAATTAATAATTTACAGGATACGAATTCAACAGTAATGTTTTATTATTTTTGTTCCCTTTATCCATTTAATTAACGATAAAAGCTGTCAAATGAATAATATGTAACGTTTATAAAAAATAAGTAAGTAGGGGAGGGTGGGGCAGAGCGGCCCCCTTAAGCTGGTTTTTCCTTTTTGTGGTTTTTAACCATCAAATTCCTTTATTTTCCGTCTATTTCGAATGAATCAGTCGAAATTTTGCCAAAAATCGAAAAAAAAAATTTTTCTTTTTCTGGGGCACAACGGCCCCCTCCCTAAAAAATCATATAAAAAATTTTTTTTTTTTTTACTGAAGCCATTAACACCAAATCTAGAAATTCTCCTCCCAGAAAACGCCGTCGAAGGAAAACCACGATTCTTACGAGTCTTCAGTATCCCCGAAAACTCAAAGAAAAAGAAAATCAAAATGAAGGAAAAAAAAGTCCTCAGTTAAACAAAAAAACAATAAAATTAAAACCAAAAATTTGAAAAAAAAAAAAAATAAAATAAAATAAAATAAACCATTCCAAATATAAAAAAGATGATTGTCATTGTCTTTGTTGCAATTGACTTTACTCAGAATCCACAGAGTCATGGATTCAGTGTAAAAATTGTAATAAATGGTTTCATAATTCTTGCGCAGGTATTGGCAAAGATTATTCTGACGAATATGTCTGTGATCATTGCGAATAATCGTATATTCATTCAATTATCTCGATGTGATTTCCTAATTATCGAACATTTATGTTTCATGTTTTATTCCAAAAGTTTAATTTTTGTCAACGTTCAATAGAAAAATTATTATAAATTTTATTGTTAAGCTGTTAATTAGTTTTCAGTAGATAATAATTAATAATATAATTAATTCCTTTTATTGCACTTAAAGGTTTTAAGCCTACGTACAAGAAAAAAAATATAGAGATGTTATTTAGCAATGAATTGGTTACATTAGTTTACATTGATTGAAATCACATGTTGAGTTTTTAAAAGATTGAGCTTTTAAAATACGTAATATCTTGAACCAGACCTTTTTTTTTCTATATTTTTATCAATTCAAAATTAAAAATATGAATCGCGTAGAGTAAGACGTCCTTGGAGAAAGTTCTCGGTTTCGCCTCGGTCTAGGGGTAAAATCTACTATTTTCGAAAATGGAATAAAAAAATTTTTCCGAATTTATGAGAGCGGCTGTTATGCCCTAGCGAGCCGTCATATACCACTCCCCTGTATAGTTCAATTATTTGTTGAATTTTTCGGGTCAATTAAATTGTTTCTAATTCATTTTACCCCAAATTTATCTCAATTCGAAAAAATAAAATTTTTTTTTCGTTGTTATTTGTTTCTCAAGTGGCCCATTATGCCCCACATATCACATATTGGCCCAAAATATCATAAAAACATTATAGAGGTCATAACTTGACGGAAAGTGAAAAAAAAATTTTTACCTAATTTTTGAGGGGGGCCGTTGTGCCCCAGGTTCTCCTATATTAGCTTCAAAATATATAAATATATCAAATTTATGATAATTTGGTAAAAAAAAAAAAAAAAAATTATTTTTCGACCAAATTTTGAAGGGGGCCGTTATGCCCCAGGAGGCCATCTTACCCCACCCTCCCTTACTCGTCCGACCCGAGTTAAATTAACATGAATAAATGATTCATGCACAACCAGTAATGTGAGTCAGAATAAATATAACTATTTCGAGAATCCATTTAAAATTAGGGTCGATATTCTCACCGGATACTTTATTAGTCGAATATATCCTCATTAACCGGCTAAATCACAGACAATTAATTCGGTGCATTCCGCTAACGTAATATGAACCCACTAAATAATCCTCAAAGTATTTTCACCGGATCTAAGATTCAAGGTTTAAAATTTAACATCAAAAGATCTCAGTTAAGTTGTGCGGAATCTCCGGTACGGGTTTATAAAATGAGAATCTGAACGTCAAAGTACTTTATGATTTACAGCTACATATTTTGCTTTTAATGATCTCTGAGAAAAAGTATAAATAAATTTTATTAAACGGCGGGCAGATCTTTTGTTCACTTTGTCGGTACCATAGTACATTCAATTAGTAAGACAAATACTCGGGCGGATTTAATTGTGGTAAATGCCAACATCCTCAACTTACGGATAAGTAAACTGTACTTAATGCTGTGTGAAAATTCATGCTGAATCAGAGCGCTTTATACACGGTTTTGCCAGTTAACTGCTTTAAACAAACACCAGAGTTGGTGTAGTGGTATCCCGTGTTTATACATACAACAAAACAGATATAGACATAGATATAGAGGTACCATCGGCCCAATGTCCACTACAAAATCCACGATAAGCTAAAAAATACAATCCTTTGATTAATCTCTGCTGATGTCGTTGTACCAATACCAACTGTTTTACTATTGATTTATTCTCTTCTCGTTAACTTGTTTTACAAACATGTTCGCATACACTCATAATATCTTTATTATTTTACCGATTTTAGTACTTGTATTTAGTATTGTTCCGTCTATATACGCAGAGAAGCGTTAATTAATAAGACCCAAAATTATTACATAAATATAACCCGATGATTTAAATTTACGATATAATATAACATAATAATGTAATGTAATTAATTAATTAATTAACAGTTAAAAGTGTCGACGGATCATATTTGCGGATAATCAAGGTTACTCGCGGGCATATGGGATCATATTTGTGCATTGCATCAAATGGTGTGCCGCCTTCCGTCAGTAAAAGGATCATGCTAATTGTCCATTGTACGTATTAATCAATTAACTAACTAATTAAATAAATAAATAAATGATTCAATGCATGTAGATTGGACATATAAATTATTAATTAGTCGGCAGTGAGAATTTCAGAATGTTAATTAGTATTTTTTTTTCTTTTTTACAAATTACAAATTCGTCCAGTTTCGCCGATGATATGGATACAGAATCAACTAGTTGGCGTGAAGCTGGGTCAAAAAATGACACTCGAGTGTCTGTCAGAGGCATACCCGAAGTCGATAAATTATTGGACAAAAGATACAGCGGAAATAATTGCTCAAGGTAATTTTTTTATTAAATATTTGTTTCAACTCTGCTATTTTCTCATTTTTTTATTTTTTAAGTTTAATGAAGAAAAAATAGGTCGTAATTTTTTTTTAATGGTAATCAATAGTAATTAATTTTTTTTTTTCAACCGAAAAAATTATCAGATTTACGCTATTTGAAAAAGAAGTTCATAAAAATGCATGATTTTCTTATCGGACCTGGTCAGGCTTGCATAAAAAATTTATATAGTTAATTTTGAATTATTTTAACGACTTGTTATTTATTTAAAAATTTTTTTACCCCGTAAATCAAAAGAGTAAAGTTAACGATCAGCAAAACGTATTATCTTTTATCATCAGTTTATTTATAGCAATCAATTTAACTTTTATTTGTAGATGACTGCTGTTAAAGCAATATAAATAACAATCCGGACGTTTGTGCTCCGAGAATTAATGTAATTAATAGTATGTACAATAGGGCGCTGTAAACATTTGACCCTCTTGTTGTTTCTAACGGATTACATTTCACGTTCATGTTTACTGTATAACTCATTAAATAGATTAGTGGTATGATAGCCAAAAAAACACTTTTTTTATCTTTATTTTATTAATACTTTAATAGGTTCCATATCAATACCATCAATGTATTATCATTATCAATTAATAAAATAATCTGTTCTTTCCCTTCAAATTTTGCTTTTTCTTTTTTCGCTTCGCATTGATTTTCAATAATGTGTTTATTTAATAATTAAAAATAATTTATTTCTGTCTCATATTTATTTACTACCAGTAGCCTGCAATCGCTATGTGACAATCGAAAATTACGAATTATGAATAAAAAATCATTGGCTTGGTAATTTTGGATCGTAATTTACATAGTTTGGGTGCTTTTTAAATAAATTTTTAAAATATATTGCTGTGACAGAATCAATTACCAATAATCGAATGAAAAATATCACGGAACAAACTTATAGAACCAACAAACTATTCAGAATTATTTAAAAAACATCAAAACTTACTATCACTAAAAATTTATATAAAATCTTAAAAAAGCCCTAAATCAAAACATTTTTTATAATATTAAATTTAACTAAAAAAAATCCATTTTATCAAATAAATACAGCAAAGGCAATATTTTTTTATTCTCTTAATTATATATTGATAATTATTAAAATAAAAAAGCACAACTTTCTGTTCTTTACTGTCAACCAATGCTGTTTTTCTGAGCCGAATGGTTGATTAAAAAAAAGAACCCTGAAAAAAACAGCAATAGGGAATATGTTCGAATTGCATCAACTGTGTTATCTAGACCTCATTCACCCGCGAATGTTTATTTTTTGACTTTTTTCTACAACCAACTACCTGCTAGTACCTCCTACTACCTTTTTTAAACGAATTTCCTATATGGACTCAATCGCCCGTGCTCCTTTCTATGCCGCTTCATTCCAGTCGATCGACTATTTTATTTCGTACTATACACCCACTATAGCGGCAACAACAACCACCTAAGACATCACATCCCATCTCTGGAGGTTTACATTTCTTTTTTTTTTTTACTATCCATTCAGTTAACTGCAAATCTATTATAACGCTTTCTCAACTAGCAGCACAATATTTTTACTGCCTCATCATAACTACTTTCTTTTTATTCAATATTACATTATGTCATAAAATATAAACAGCATTTTATTTTCATATTCCGTGGAAAATATACCTCCTCTCGTAAAATTTTCTATTTTTTTGTAATAATAACTAAAAATATTTAATGTTCACTCCGTAAGTATACGATTTCATGTGTTTTACCATTAAAATTTCTCATAAATATATTTATTTAATTATTGCTTTATTATAATTATTTTAATGCAAAGAAGTATGATGCAAAAATAAATTTTCATCATTTATCTCGAAATGAAAACCAAAAAAAAAAAATTATTTGTTTCGTCGACTGAGATTCATTAAATAAGTTGTTCATTGGAGTCAGTAATGAAAGTAGAACATGTGAAATATACATTTTAGCAACTTTAATGAAGCTGTCAATCGGATAACTATTGATCGATAATGACTATAATTAAACAACAAAGGTTCATTAGTAACTTTCAACAGAGTATCAAAAACAAATGTTTTAATTCGTGTCAATTTAAATAAGTTATCAGCAAATTCGCGTGACGTCTGCATGTCTACTATCATCATTGACATGCAAATTATTCCTTTATAAAATTAATAAGTACTCGAATGATTTGATGTCATTTGGACTATTTTTTTAATTTTAAAATAATAGATTAAATTAAAAAAAAAAAAAAACAGGACTATAAACGTTTTAAATTTATTCTCTAAAATCAACGTTTAAATCAAAATTTTAAATCATAATCGCAATCCATTAAATGAAGGAATTTTTTTTTGAAAAATTGATTTAAACTACCATTAAAAAATTCAAAGCCTCTTTCTACTGAATTTATTTTTTCGAATAAATGAACGGTAAAAAATTCATAAAAATGCTTTTGCCAAGTTCAGTAATCGTATTGGAAAAATAATTTACGATACCTCGTTTTATTATTGATATTATGATTAAAACTGCTATTTATCAACAAATGAATAATAAATGAACTGACCGTGATATTGCATCGGAAATAATCGATAAAAATCGGAAGCAGATTTTTATTTGATAAAAAATTTATCGGAAATCTGACTCAACATTTCAATCGGATTGCACTGAGAATTTCCGTTTAAGCTACTAGTATTTATATCCGTACCGCACATAATAAAAGAGATAAAAACAATAGTACCGACGATAATAATAATGGCAATAATAACGCTAACAAAATTTAAGCTCAATCTTTCGAAATACATAATAGAAATAACTGTATTAAAATTAACACAAAATTAATTCCAATTTTCACAGGCATTGTTTAATAATAAATTAATCAAAGGAATTTAATATTCCACAGCAGACGTGGAGCGAAATCTGCGTTTAAATAATAAATGTTAATCAATTAAAGGACGAATGCATCAATTTTGAAGTACTGCTGATAGAATAAAATGAAGGATAGGTTGACACGAAAAAAGAGTATTTTTTTATTGTGTGAAATTGATTGCTCGGCGAATTTTCCGAATTAGAAGACGACAGATAGTCAGTCCCGTTGTTGGGATAATGGAGAAGACGGAAACGGTTGAATGGTGTCGATCCAAACAGAAATCACGTTAACTTAGTTCTCTTGGTATCGTGTCGAATACTAAAATAAGCTAGACAGTTGAATAGGTTAAAGCCATCATCAAACTTGATTTCAACTATTGTGACGTTATTCTTCAACAAACGAGTTAAATTTTTACTGCCATAAAATATTATATATATATATATTAATTTTTTTTTTTTATTATATCATATTTTATCATTTCAGCGTAACAAAAATGTTATCAAATTCTTTCCTTTTTTCTCTCTATCATTTTTCTTTTTCATAGAGCAGAGAGCACATTAATAAATAAAATAAAAATAAATGGTATTACGGTAGATGGCGTAGTCGGGCTGATATTCTTTGAATTTTTCAGATGGCAGATATGAGCCGGTTCTAGAAGAAACTGGGTACAAAATCACAATGAAACTGACTATTCGCTCTGTTTCCCCTGCCGACATTGGTACATACAAATGTGTTTCCCGAAATTCTATTGGAGACACCGATGGTACCATCAAACTTTATGGTAATTATTATTCATTTTTTTAATTTTAAAAATAATAACAGTTGAACGAAATGTGATTTTTATTGAAGTACAAAATTTAATTACAAAAATATTTTAACAGAAATCACATCGGATAACGAGCACGATACATATGGTGACACTCACTACAGAGGTAAGCTCTAAAATTTCATTTCAATTGATATAAATTAAAAAAAAATTTTTATTTTACGTTTAATTTTTTAATATCCTAAAAGCGTTACAGTAATTCACTTCCATCTTATTATTTTGATACCCTATACTATGCATAACATCAAAATCAAAAATAATATTCTAGAAATTTATCCAATATAACAAACAACGAACAATATTCTATATGTACCTCCAATCTGACATGAGAGATAATAGTCGACAATAGATCTACGTACGCGAATAATAAGCGCACATTCAAAATGCACTCATATAATATGTATAGACACAAAATAAAGTGTAGTAATTATGAAGAGCGATTGTTGAAGGAGGCCACTTGAGAGTTGGGTTTGTTACACCCCAGCAAAAAGTTTTATATCATACTTACTGCAGAGATACTTTAAAAATTTTTATTCTATTTTTTCTGAAAATAATGCGGTCTCATAACAGTACTGACAAGTCGAGGTATTATGCAATGCGCTGTTGATTAATTAGCGTGAGAACACAACTTGATAAATAAAAGTTTTACGATTGCACTCGTTAATACCCAGACGTTTCTCTCAACGACAATAAAAGTGTCTATTGTATTAACAATCAGAAAAACTTTCTACATTAATGACAATAATTTTAAATCAGTAATAATTATGAAAAAAATTTATTATTTATACACCATTAGAAAACTTACAACTTACAAATCACGTGATCAAAGCACTAATTAATATTCAACGAAATTGTAGTTTATGCGATTAGCTGATATCCAAAGTTAATTGAAACAACTTCAACTGTTGAAACAGTTAGTAATGCAAATATAAATTTAATGTGAGATGCCCTGCAAGTTACAGAATTAAATTATACAAAGTTTAATTACGCGTGTAATTTATACCATCTGGGGGGGAGGTGTAACAAAATCAATATTTGCGTTTAAAAAAGATCAAGGCTATGCTATGGGAATAAAAAATCTGAAAAACAAAACAAAAAATTTTAATAAAACCACAGTCGATTCGTTTCCACTCATTCAGCTCTCTGAATAATCGAATCCTTAAGTAATCGGATTGGAGAGTAAGCTTTAAAGTATATCTGAGGGCAAATATTACACCAACTATTAGATTTGTGGATATTGTTTGTATCCGTAATAACACTCACTCGTGCACCGGATGCTAAGCGGATGCACCGCTAAATATCTATAACATCCCCTTTATATTTGAATTACCATGATTACGAAAATTCTCCGATTTTACAATAGAGATTTACTCTTTGGAATTCAACCGTCTGTTGACATTTGTCTTGGCAGTGAATTCATTAAAACTTAAACCTTCTTGGTATTTTTAGTCCTTTGTATTATTCAAATTTATACTATCAAAAATCTTACACTCGGATGTTTCAAGAGTCTGAATTTAAAGAAAAATAATATTTCTCATTTCGTAATTTTGTGTAAAATTCACGAGTCTTAAAGCATTAAAAATAAAATAGCGTACATAAATGAATGGACAGTTATCTGAAAATTCAATTAACAAATATCGAATTCAGTCATGATTTAATTTAACAAGGAAATGCAATATAAAACGAGATATTTTTTCTATTATTACTATTAATGTAAAATGACATTGTTAGTATGATTTAATATTTCAAAGTGTAATATGATTTGAAAGCACTATGACTGCAGTGCAAACAGCTTGGACCTCGGGCTAGTATAGTTGAATTTGTGGGATCGTTGAGAATGCACCATCTTCCTTTTACATATCTGTATACATAATATACGTACATATAAATTAATATACATATATATGTATATGTAGGTATTCTCGAGAATTATTAACGTCGGACGGAATTCCTAGGGCATCCGGTGGCAACGATTAATCTTCGCGAGAACTATCGCGCTCTTCTCTTGTACGAGATATTTCCATTCTCCTTCTCCTTGTTCTCTTTATCCCTATTCCATTCCTCCCCTTCTCTGGTTCTTATTCTCTCACCAGGATATATGTGAGATTAAATCTCCGTTTCACTGGAGACAATGTGCTCAGGTAATTTCCGTGATTTCGTGTTAAATATTTATCCCCTCAATTTTAACTGGCAGACATCCAAATACACAGAGCCCATTAACCTTAACAGAAAAAAAAAAAAACAACCTCCAATAAAAAGAACAAAATAAAAGTTTAAACCAGATATTCTTTATCACCGTAAAAGCTCGGTAAACAACAAAATATCACAGCACCCCGTAACTTTATTCGCGTTATTTTGACGGTAAAAGTCCTGTCCAAGTTCTTCGACTGTTAGATCCTTACAGCAGAGAAGACAGCAAATGTAACACCTAGATACACGGCACAACGCAACAGCTCTTTAAAACAAAGTTAAGTTTTATTTAAAGGAGTTTAAAACTAAAGTCGAGCTATTGTACAAAGCTTTCCGGTGATATATAATTTAGCTAGTTGGCCTCTTTGAGCCCGAGACGCCTTTTGGTATTGCCCTATTCCTACCGGCTTATTATATAAAATAGAATCCTTACCCTCACTTTATTATCTCGTTTTCTTTTTGAGTCTCATCGTCATCCCCTCATAGCAAACTGTTTTTGCAACCCCTGTGTTACTTGTCTTTTATTCTCACCCTTCTTCCGGTTTTTTTATCCAACTCTCCCACCCATCTATTATCAGTTAGCTCTTTGCTCATTTTCACTGCTCCTATGTACATGTATAATAATAATAACAATAATAATAATATAAACATATACACATAAAGCTATATCTATACCTAATCGGCTCGTTGCGTCTTTCCGCACCGCTTTACACATTCCTAGGAACACGTGGCAAGAATAATTCCGGTTGGATTCCCTCTAACAAATTCAAACCAATTCCAGCCCCGAGCTCATGAACTAACACGAACCCGGTACTCCCTTTTTTTTAGGTACTTTATGTTTTGTACTTTTTATCGATACTAATGCACATGTGATTTTTTATTTTTATACTTGACACACGTCGGTACGCTGTGAAAACATTATGTGCGACGGCGTGTGGATGTCATCGCATTATCATGTACCACTCTGTGCGGGACGTATTACGGTCCGTGTTCCGTGTTGTGTCGATACATCTAACTGATGACTATTTACTATTCGTTGAGTACGCTAGTCTGTACTTGGATAAATATACACATATACAAACAATGAGTATCACACTCGACATTTTGGTTGTACACTGCACGCTTTTGACCTTATGGGAATCAAATGCGACAACATAGTCAGCTGGCGGTGTAGTGTTGCTGCAGTGCCGGGACTACACTGGAAATAGAATGGGAGTCGCTCCGTGTGTTCATGTGTCGATGCAAATCCGGAAACGATGATCCATTGTTCGGGTGCAATGTTATCACTACTTACTCTCTCTGGTTGGGTATCTCCACCAGCCATATATTATCCATTATGTTAGTGTATTATAGATTCATATGTAATGTATAATATACACTATACACGCTATATGATTTTACTTGATTATTACATCCCTCGCGGCTCTGCTCTGATAATTATTATCATCACAGTGAGAATTGGCATTTCGCGCACCAAAAAACAGAGTGATGTAGAGAGAGCTAAATAACTTGAACCGCAGTGATAAGATTCTCTCTGCTGCGGTTTCATTAGATACATAATATTTTTTTACCCGTCTGAAGGTTGGAATTGTGTGTGTGTGTGTGTGTGTGTGTGTGTGTGTGTGTGTGTGTGTGTGTGTGTGTGTGTGTGTGTGTGTGTGTGTACGTGTGAGTGTCTATGAATAGATGAATGGGATTGTATGTTAAAGTTTCGGAGAGCTCGTGTTTCTTTTCGTACTTTAATGGGTAATCTCAACTAGAAGGAAAAACTTTTCCTGAAACGGCTTTCTTTCTGTTTTATGGTTAATCAATGTTTTTATCAGCTAAACTGGGTTCGTTATGTGTGGGAAAAAAATATTATCCGGCAACTTGTGAATGATATTTTATATCTGTGGATGGAGACTAATGAGAATTTATTTTTTAGTATATTACTATCTGGTTGAAGAGTATTTTTTTTATTAAGATTATATTTTAATTAGTTTTACTTTTATTTTAGATAAATTTTGAGAAAACAAATTTTGGAAAATTTTTGATCTTATGGACGTTTTTGGTAGTAATGTGACTTTGTAGACTGACTCTATTGTACTGAATTTTCATTACAATTTTTAATGAAAAAATTTTTAATATATGCTTTGATATGAAAATTGGACAAATATGAAAATATCAGTCCATATTACGTGTGAGGTTTTCATGAATTTTATTCTTTTAAAAAAAATGAAAAACGTAAAAGCCTTTAAAAATTAGTAATAAAAATAATCATAAAATAAAATTGCTAGAAATCATACGAGGATTATCAAGTAATTATATAGATTACAGATAGTATCTATTATTCGAACGATAATCGGTATCAACAAGGATTACCGTCAATCATCGAAATAAACCTAAAAACCAAATCAATTTTCAGTAATACCGTTAATGTAAGCAATAACCATTATTGGTCATTAAATAATAAACAGTTAATCCAGAGCATTATTACCGTGATTGATAACAACAATCACACCGTAATAATTAATCCAATTTAGATTCTGAATCCTCGGATGGTTATCGATTGGCAGAATAAAATATTAGTTCCTGTCAAGATTGACGAGCAATATGGAGGAATAAAAGAAAAAAAATATTTTGTTTAATGAAAATTTTGTCGTTAACTAGTCTCGGGGGATATCAATCGATTTAATAAAACATGAATAGCGACCGTGAATGAATTTACGACGTACTGACATTCGATTAACGAGTGCATACACAGGCAGAGGCTCAGGCTCGTATTCCACGTACCTAGATATGGAGCCGAGGCAGTTATACATTCGTTAACAGGAAAGAAATTAATGTAAATGCCAGTATGACGATAAATCACCGGTTGATTCGACGAAGCGAGATTTATGATCCCGGGATTACCGCTCGTGGGTCAACTCAAGCAGTCAAAAAAGTCGTTGTCATCCGCATCACGCGATAGTCGGCATTAAAAGTCCTCGAAACGAGCCAAGTTATACACTAATATACTACCCGAGGAAGTTATAAAAAAGAGCAGAGTTACTCTTAATACAAAAACTAAGTAGGCTACTCGCAGTACAGCAATAAAAAATGCGCTCTACGCAAGTGCTCAAAGTGTACCGGCTTCAAGTACTAGGCTAAATAAACTTTTTTCAGTTTAATCCTCTCTTTTTTTTTTTTTTTTTTCACTTTTATTATTTATGTTCATATTCATATCTACAATTTTAATCCATTCATTATGTATTATTTATATTTTTTTATATCTTATTTTTTTAGGAGAGACTATTACTAATATTTTATTTTTCATCAAGTTCGGTCTTGAATTTATGTAGATTAATAAAAAAAATCTGTTATATAAATAAATAATCCTTTTTTTATAGTTACATACCTCCGTACAAATTAATTACGGGGACTTAAGTCGCCTTATATTATAAATTTAGAATTTACATTATTTTTATAAAATATTTGAATAATAACTCACTGAGTAAAATAATTAATGTAAATTTTTAATTGAAAATTTCGATGCAAAAATGGCTCATATATTTTATAAAATTTATAACTGTAAATTTTTTTTTTTTAGTTTTTTTCAATAATATTTATTTATTAAAAAAAAAAAATTATTGAATCATTGTTGTTTAAAATTTTTTAGGAAAGCTCAGAAAGAATTCGGGAAATAATTTGCTGGATGGGGATCAAGATATGCCGAAAGAACGAGGTAAGAAAATGCAAATTAGATAGCAAATCCATAAAGCGTACTTTGTCATACGAAAGAAAAAAAAAATAAATACAACACTACTGTTTCATGAAAATTCATTTACATAATATCTCTATTTAACAAAGTAAATTAAAATTGTATTTATTTATAAAATAATAAAGTACAAGCATAGAATGCAGTAATGTATGAAAATAAACGTACCGGAAAAACTTTGTTTGCAGACTTAAAGCTACGGGGGCGGAAGGATAACGCCGTAGACGGGGATGAAGATTACGAAGATTCAAGATCGGGATCTAAGTGTACTGCTTGGCAGTCGTCATCATTGCATTGGTACTTTGCTTTCATCAGCATCCACAGCTGCAGTCTCTTCATCCCGGTTGAGAGGATAAACCTTCGCCTGACTTCCTTACTAAGTCATTAGGATCACCCATCCTACCTCTTGCCGTCGACGAACGCGCGAAAGACGACTTAAGTAATGGACAACCCGTTTAAATCGGTAATTTAAAAATTAACGCTTAATACTCTTAAGACACTGACGACAACCTTAAACTTTTTAGCCGGCTTAAAAGTTTATAAATCTTCTAATAAATCACCGAAAACATTATTGGCATAAATGACGATTATAATTACCAGTGATAGTAATTATTCATCAATAAATAAACAAATAAGACAACCTATAAAAAAAACGCCGGATACGGTGAGCTGTACAGTATCGATTTTGAATTTATATTATTATTTTTAAAAAAGTATAAATATGTGCGTGCTTATTAAAACCGAACTGTTTTATAAATAAATAAATAAATTAATTAACAAACAAACAAAAAATAATATATAAATATATAGAAACAGCGTGTTTAATCTCATAAATAATAATAATAATAATAATAATAATAATAATAATAAAATATGAGTCAATAGTGCCGATGTGAGTTTATTTATTAATATACAATAATATAGATTTACAAGAGCTTTAATATGTGCTATGGTCGATAAATGCATTCACTATTGATATAAATAAATGAATTATACATACATGTATAAATATACCACCGATGTAAATAAATTACGCCTGAAAAAATATATATGTATGCAAATGTTTATGTGAAATGTAGATTATTGCAATTAAATTGTAAGAAAATGTTTACACGCATCGCTTCAACGTGAATTATAAAATGGTAAATACGTTAATGGTGCCTTACACCTTTAATATAAATTTATATATTAATATTTATATTTTATATTTTGTATTTAAATTAAAAAAAAAAAACAATTATGAGGATTATATAAATATATTTCAATGATAATTTTTCATTTGTTTTATCGACGAATTATTTATTTGAGTTTTAATTTGAAATGATAATAATAAAAGTGAGGATTGAAGTAATGCGTGTAATTTTATTAATGTACATGTACAGTAGAAATTATTCGAAATGATAAATGTAATTATTTAAATTTAAATAAGTGTATATGTAAACAGTTTTGAATGACGTTCGTGTCATTTGAATACACGCTTCAATAAAAATATTTGTATGATTATAAATTATAATTAAATATAATACTGTTGAGTGTGGATGCGACGGCTAGGACGTGCAGGGATTGTAACGCTTGTTTAATGTCATAAGGTAGTTGATATATTTATGGTACGATCTTTTGATCTTTTTTAACCATAGGAAACGTTTTTTTTATATTATTATGAAAACTTATCGTGCTTAGTTGCTTTCTTTAATAATTTTTTTTTTCACAGGCTTTTCATGCATAAACTTATGATAATTGGACGTGAATTTTATGACTAAAGGATGAAAGGTTTTAATTGAAATCTCCGAGTTTATATTAATTATTAAAAATGAAATTACTGTTTTTTAATTGAAGATGAACGTTTTACTTCACAATTTACAAGAGTTCCCTTGAGAAAGAAGAAAGAAGTGAAGTAATTTTAAAAGATTGTTAAGTAAAATAAAGATTGATATAATATAAAGATTGAACACGATTGTTATATAAAAACATTAAATTTAATGGTTCATTCAACTTTTTGGTGTTATTTAATATACACGATAAATTTAATTACAAAAAATTAATACTTTTGGTGATTTGCTCCAATTTCTCTCTTTGGGAATGAATTCCAATGAAAAGTAATAATTAAAAAATGATATTAAATTTTATAAATATTCTCTCGAGTTATATTATTCGTAATTAATAATGCATGATAAAATTATTTAATATCGAACGATTAAAAAATAAATATTTCAGTTAATTTTTCGACAAACTTTTTAATTCTCTAAACTATATTAATGACAATGACTAACGACTAATTATAATTATTTTGTGATGAAATTAATGACTGTCTGAGTATCTAGACGTGGTCAATAATTCATAATCAAAAATTAATGTAAGCTGTTTTATGATTGAAAGAAATAAATTTACAAATATATTTTGAAATTGCCTTATGACGTTAAATTATATAATTAAGTAATAAATGATATTCTCAAAAAACCTTTGACTCGAAAAAAATAGTTAGAATAAAAATGTGGTAATATAAAAAAAAAAAAATACCGGTCATTGTTGAGATTTATTACTCACTTAACTCAAAGACCAACATAAATAGATTTACAGCAAAAGATTTTATCTACCATAGATGAAACGCAAGTTTAATCATGCGAAAATGATCAGGTACTTCCCTGCTGCTATTGTAAAGAAAATAAAAAAAATAAATAAAGTCCCAGAGTATTAAGCTCATGCATCGAGGGCAGATTGTAATCGTAAAAGATTTTTTATTTTTATTCATTTGGTATAAAAGAATAAATTGTAAAAAATAAAACACAAACTATTGCCAATGTGGAGGCATTTCATGAATCAGTAGAATAACTTCTGCTTCAGTTACTACTTTGCAATCTAACATGTAATAATATAATACAGTACTTTGATACAATACCGACCACATACTGGTATGGCGTGAGTCTACTCCACTTCATTCCGATTATTCGACACCCCGCCGGTATTTAATCGGGGATCTTACAACACACTTTACATCCCCCTTTACTTTACTATTACATATAATTCACAATTTAATACAATCAAAGTAAAGACTCGACTCGTTAAACTCTCCATCATCCGAAAATCACGTCCGACAGAATGTTATTTCCGCGCTATTGTATTATTACTATTGTAACAAAAACTTTTGATCTGATTCTGTATCATCTACCAAAGTCTCGGTTCACCCTCAGTCAAATACTCTGCTAACGTAAGTTACAAACCATTGATCAAGAATAAACATCAAGATTATGTAGACAGCATTGCTGGGAATTGTTTGATGTACAATTCAACAATCGGTAATTCAATTGAATCTATTTTATTAAATTCTCATGTCATAAACACGAATCGACTGTATATTAAATTCATACTGACTTACATCTATGTAGTTCAGTAACTTATCAATCTTCATTAATTCATATGTAAATATTCAAAGGGATATTGATTTTACTTATATATAATACAGATTATTTATTTTAATTATGCATTGAATATTTAAATCGATATTTTATTTTTACTTAACTTAGCGGTGTTTTGAACAAAAAAATTTTTGAACTTTTAAACTGATTCTTTAAAATCAAATGGAAAAAATTAAAAATTTTTAACTTCACTTTAAAGTATGAAATTTTTGAGAAAAATAAAATTAATCTAAATCTAAAATATCTTGATACATTTATGTATATTATATGTATAGAGAAAATATTGAAAGGCGGAGCAAAAAAATTCCCCTAAGAAAAACAGATGCCATGTAGTTTAATTTTGTTATTTTTAATTTTTTCAGCTGCGGTAGAGAGAAAAATAAACTTTGACAATTATTGTTTGAGTAATATCAAAGTACCTAAAATCCATTTTAATTATTTTAACATTTAAATAAATAATAATTAAAAATAGGATTATTTACAATCATATTTTCACAGTTGGAACTTATATTTCATTATTTAAATGATGATATTTTTCAAGTGTAATTTATAAATTTAAGCAGCTGTAATTTTTTCTAATGAACTATATTTCGATTTTTCCGTTGTAAATATCATATATTTGTATAAAAGATTCATAAAATCGAAATTTAAGACAAAGAGATTTTTTTTGTGGAAAAATATTCAGAATGAAAAAAAATTATTTTCAATTTAACGAAATTATTAATGTTAATTATTATTAATAGATATTACTTAAGGAATAAAATATTCGAGTACACAATTAAATGCTTTATTTTAATTATTGTTAGTTATAAATTGAATGATTAGATAAATAAGAAAACATTAAATGTATTAATACGCACTTTGACGCATAAAAATATTTTTTTTATAGCTTTTAAAATAGTTTTAATTATTAAAACAATATCCTGATCATAAAGTGTGTATTTGTATGTTATCTTGAGAGTAATAATTGTAAATTATATAATATAATACATAAAAGTAGTTGATTCAAACCTTTTAGCGGGCCGAGATAAAATAAAGATAATAATTAAATATTTTAGAAGTCCGTCAAAGGGTTTGATATTATTTGATAAATATAACGCAATGCTATTTAATTTGCATGTTATTGCGCCTGAGATGTAAGAAATAAATATTACACAATATATTTGTACAACTGATTGCATTTACAAGTGTAAATAAAAAAAAAAAAAGAAAAATATATAAGACATACATTTAGTTAAATATTTAAATAATTAAAAATTTTTAAAAATTGATTAAATCGGCCTCTTGGAAAGTTTATCCGACAATATTTTTATGATTACTTGTAAAAAGAATAAAATTGTAAGAATAATAAAAAACACAAATATATATATATATACGCTATTAAAAATGAATAATTTAATTTAAGTAAATTTGAGAAGAAATGTATTAAATCAATTACAGTAGCAGTTAACAAAATTACGTTAATTATATTACTTAATTGGATAACGAATAACGATAAAAACTCACCTTTTAGGGAATGTAGTATTTAGTTTTGTAATTATTAAAATAATTTAATTACTTATATTAATAAATAGAATTTTGAATAATAAACTAACGAGTGTAAGGATAATAATTTAAAACTAATTATCGTGAACCCTTATAATTTAATGCAGTATCGATTTTTTATTATTTTCTCCATTTTACTTATTTCAGTATAATATAGACCGAGGAGTCGGAATTAATAATCCAATTTATGTGATATTATAATATCAATTCGCCATAATCGTTACTTTACTTTGCATACGCTGAAATAATTAACTATGTTAGGATGTCAATTAAATTTTTATTTCTTTGAACTATTGTAATCGTAAAGCGCGAATTTTTTTGTAGGGTTAATTTATTATTATTATTAACATTAGAATACACTGAAAAAAAAATTAACTTGATTCGAGAGAAAAATTCTTGAACCAAGAAAATAATTTTGAAAAGGGTAATTGTCTTGAATCTAGACAAAAAGTTCTTGGATCAAGTAAAATTTTCTTAAATAAAAAAAAAAAATTATTAGTCCAAGAATTTTTTTACTCAAATCAAGAAGATTAAGTTCTTCAAAATTATATACTTGATTCAAGAACATTTTTTTTCTGTGTATTACAAAAATTTTTTCATGGGCATTAAATTTTTCCTTTAAAGTACTCAAGTCATAATAATTCTACTTCTATTGTTTTCGAAATAAAATTGAGTTTTAATTTTTTATTTGAAAAATTTAATTTTATAAAGTAAGTACTAATTTTTTGTAAAAATTTATTTTTGTTTCATTTTTATCATAAATTTAATATCAGTGGTTAAAATGGAAGTAATTGACGATAATATCAATTGAAGTAAATTATTAAATTGAAACTAAAATTTTATTTCTGTAAAGGTTTGAGAAAGATTTAATTTCAATTGAAAATTTTGTTTCACTGTAATTTTTAGAATCCTTTTAGAAAAATTATTTAAAACTAGAAAAAAAAAAACATTTTAATCTCTTCTTTAAACATCTAATTTTTTTTTGTTCGTGAGTTAATATTCAAATGTCATAATAAATTTTATAAAGCGTAAAATTTTATTTAAAAATTATTAGATATGGTTTTCAATTTTTTTAAAACTAAAACTATAATTTATACTTAAAATAAATAAAAATTAAAATTACTATTGAATGTAATAATAATTTATATAATTTAATACATATATTTTTTTTCTTAATCATATTATTTTACAATACATTTTACAATAAATTATCTTATTATCCATTGAAAAAAATATTTTACATTCTACTTCATCATTTATTTCCATACTTTATACTCAAATATTTAGTTTATCAGCACGTGTTAAAAATTTTGTGATTTATTAACATCTAAAAGCATTTTCATTTATTGTATGTTACTAATTATTATAGTCAACACTCGTCTTATTTTATACTCCAATTGCGGTATTGTATATTATTCCTCGTTTTATTTACAAAACTGACAAATGAGTAGCCGTCGATAAGAAAATAGCAAATTTTTATTTTTCACATCGATTATTTTTTATTATAATAAATTTTAAAATATTATCATCGAATCGTGTGTTACCGATAACCGATAACAAACCTTGCGTAACACTATGATTAAATATTAGTTTTAATATTTTTAAGTTTTAATGATAACAACTGATAAATTAATTTACTTTAATTCTAATAAATGCTTGATATGAATAATTAAAATATAAAAAAATTTTTTTATCAAATAACAAGTAGTACAACCTCTTATTGTTACCGAATATTTAAAATTCGGAACGCACATTATTTTAAATAACAAATTCAACAATAGCTTTAAATTTAAATCTATATTTGAATAATAAAAAATTTCCACAGAAAATTATGATTAATAATATTTTTTTAATAGAGGGTTAAATTATTAATATGCTGAGTTAAATTATTTATATGCCGAATACGAATTTACCCGATTAAAATTATAAATAATGGCCGTCAATTTTCTCGAGAATTACTATTAATATTTATGCAGAGTTATGTGATTTAATCTCTTGGTCTGAACTATAGCTCACATTAATTTCAGCAGTAAAAATTCAGTTTATTATTCATCTTCAATTATTAAAAGGAATAAGTTTTTTTAATCGACTGTAAATTTTCGTTGTGCAATAAATTATATATATTTTATTCAAATAATCTCTGCGATGAATTGTTAAATCAATAGTTCACTCATAAACTTTTTTAATTCAACAGTAATAACATACAATCATAACATTGAATATTAAACAAAATGAATTGACCTACTTAGTAAATTTTCGTGTTTCTATTCATCTTTAACTTTTAAAAGCTTATCAAATTTCATCAACTTCAACAAAAACGATACTCCAGTATTTTACTTATAATTATAAAACTTCAATTAGTTCCCTATGTCTGAAAATCGATATTTATCAGCTTATCAGGACATCAAACAATTTAACAAAATATATTATTTTAAAACATACAATAAATATTTAATTTTTTTAAATTAATATCCTATATTACTCGAGGAAAAGTAAATTCACCGGCTTTAAAACTATAATTTACATTTTTAACTATTAATAAATAATTTTTTTTTGCATAAGAAATCATTCTTACAAATTCAATCGCGGGTACTCATTTTTCAACTATATAATATACATTTTAATATTTATTTATTTAAAGTTACTTTGTACAAAATAAATAAACGACAACTATGGAAGGTTACAACTTTGACATTTTATAGTGATTCATACTTTTGCCGCTAGATGGCTACAATGTTTATATTTATAATTTTCTTTCTCGCAAGATCTGGTGGTGAGATCTGATACATATAAAACTTTCGAAAAATTAACATCAGCAGTATGGTGTTTACATCTAAGAGGAATTTAGTGGCTCTTCCTCTCAGGGAAGGTTATATTAGCAATCGACTCGTCCAGATAAAGTGGTTGGCTGTTACAGAAGTGTTATTTAGGTCACAGCCAATATTCTAACGTTAGTGGCCCGGAGTGCTTCCAATTTCAATACTCCGCGTGGGAGAGTCGAGGCACTATATAATTTACATATCGATATATATTTACATAATTTTTATCCATACATTTTTAATTATATGTACATTCAATTTTTACTTAAAACTAAAGCAACATATTTTTTATTTTATTATTATTATTATTATTATTATTGTTATTATTATTTGTGTAAAATCACACAACATTCATTATCCTTATCCCTGATAACAATTGATGAAAGATTTAATATTTACATATAACGATAGCTTATGATGTAACAAATATTGATTATCATTATTACTTATTATGTACAACATAATGATACTTTTATAATATTTTAATAAACAATCATTCACACCAATATTATGTACAAAGATATTTTTTTTTAATTTGTATTGTGCGGAATGTACAAGCTACTTTCTTCAACAGCCGGTAAATCAACCAATTAATCAGTTAAGTAATTAATTCATTTTATATATAATATTTTAAATAATCAACTATTTGATAAATTATTTAATTTATATGGTAATGAATTAATTGCTGTTAATTGAATATTTTTATCTAAAATTTAAATAAATAAAAAAAAAAAGTACAAATTTTGGTAACAATTAATAATAATTATAAAAATCCGGTTAATATAATGGTGAGTAAAGCGAAATTAGAGTGAGTTACTGATAAAATACCAGCGCTTCTTGAAGACATTGATCGCGCTGCTTCGTCTGTTTGTTGTAATCTGTCATCAATTTTTTTCCTTCCACTCTTGGCGTTTGTTTTAGGTCTCTCGCGTAATTGGGCACCTAATTAAATAGAACAGTCAATTAGTCAAAATTTAAATATAAGCACATTGATTATAAAATTGTTAATTAAGTGGTGTTTATTAATATTATTATTGTTATGGAGTAAAAATTTAGTTATGAAGCAGGTTTCTAATGACGGCAATTATAATTTATCGTCAATTTCACAATCGATCTAATAAAATTCGAAATTGATAGAATATATTAGTTAGATGAAAGTATAATACAATACGTTTGCCTAATTAATAACGACCGAAGTAAACTAGTTAATTAATAAATAAAATTGCAAACCCATACAGAACTCCAAGGAACAATTGAATAAGTTATTGTATTATATCGTATGACGAGGTTAGTATGTTCATTTATATTATTATGAGAAATGCATTAAAATACAAAAGTTTTAATACGCATACAAGTTTACCCGCACACGTACGTACACACTTAGTTGAAGTAAGTTAAGCGATGCTTATAGCAACAGTATACGATACGAATTTAGATTTCGGGCCGACAAACTCATGACTAACCCTTTCATTCCAATGGAATTCCCAGTGGCTTCTATAAGCTTTTACATCCCTCCGCAAAACGAATAGTTGTTACGTGGAGGAGTTGAAAGTGTAATTTAATTTTTAAATTGTTACTCGTAGTTTCAATATGTTCTGCCAAATTTATATTCACTCTTATTAAAAGTTACCTTGACGAATTGTAAATTTTATAAATATATATATATATATATATATATATATATATCTTTCGGAGTAAGTAACTTATAGTTTCACCGGTTACCAAAACTGTTATCAATTACGTATTCATGAACCCGCTAGTTATATTTATTTAAAAGCTTTCATTTAAATAAAAGGAAGTCAGATTACCACGTTTTTCGCTCTCAGATGTTTTTGATGCATCAATTATTTCGTTGAAGTTTGATACAACTGTTGGCGATACTTTTGGATGCGGTTTCAATTTACTCTCCACTGTAAATAAAATTTATTTATTTTATATAATATTTAAAAATTCACATATTTTATTTATAATTTTTTTTATTACCTTTCACTTCTGTGGAAGGTACTGGAGTAGTTGTTGTTGGTGGTGGTTGAGTTGTTGGCGTCTCGATACCTTAAATATTATTATTATGATTATTATTACATGAAACTTTTATTAAAAAAAATAATCCAGTAAATTTATACAGTATTGATATGAGAAAACTAACATTTAGCGATTGTCAATAATGAAATATGTTGTTTATATTATCTCGAATTTAATTTATTAAATTGTCAAGCTAGGCAAACTTTGGTTAACTTGGTAGAGTATAGTGCAGACAATAAAAGAGAAGAAAAATACCAGCGAGTTAAAGAGGGAGACAGTATAGTAGTGAGTGTGAGAGTATTGTAAAGTTTGATATTCTCTCTCCAAACTTGCCACTTGTCTGTTTAATGCTGAATTCAAAGTACGCCTAGTACCAACTCGGCAAGGAGTAGTGAGCTATATTACTAGTAGTGTCATTGCTTTCTCTCTGATCTGTTAACTATTCACAGAAACTGTTCACCCAACATCTTCAATTCGAAAACAAATTGCTGATGCATTGAACACGGGATAATTTATCAAAGTAATGGAATAATTTAATACAAATACAAATACAATACAGCTGCAAGTTTCTACGAATAAATAAATCTTAAAAGGACTATTCAGATTCGATCTTTAGAGGATTCAATTTTTCGTAAGTAATTAATTAATTTAATAATATTTCTTAATTGAAAATTATAAATTTTCTGTAACAAATTCACTTGATTTTAAATTCAGCGACAATAATAAGATATGCGCGAGTGACCTAAATATTTAAATAATTTCAAAACTCGTCTATCAAATCCTTCATTTCCATTCGTATTCGTCTCTATAATTTATCTTTTCTTCAGCCTTAGCTTATATAATATATATATATATATATATATATATATATATATATATATATATATATCTAATGTTAAAATACCACGAGCTAAGACCGTGCTCTTTATCGTCGACAGAAAGGAAAGGAAACTCACGATCTGATTTTGCATTGGATGCATTTTTCAGCGGGTTCATTCTGACAATCGCAAGGCAGTACTTTTTACTTAGGTTAGGCAACTTACTGCCGTGGGAGGAACACAAGGGGAAGAAATTCTTTGGAAATCGCTTTGACAAACGAACACAAAATAAAAACGAAAAACTAACGAACGAATGAACGTTTAAAAGACTAAAAAAAAACTACCAAATCTGTGCAGTTTCTTGCTCCATATATCTTATCGACTGTCCATTTTTCTCTAAGCTAAATCTTTTCGGATAAACCCATTTTTAAATGTCTCCTTTATTTAAACAAGCATCATGCATTAATGTATCCATGATAATAATATCCATTATTTTATAAGTCTTATAAGATAATATTAACTATATATAATTATATTTTAGGTTAAAGTACACGAAAGTTCATCTTAAACTAATTTAGTTAATTTTATAAAAATCGCTGTCTTAAGTTTAAATATAAAATTTCATAAGAGCAGCTATTAAAAGGTTCGCTAGACGCTGACATTCTTTTAACATCTTCATTATCTATTTTGACCCACTTCCCTTACATATGTTGGAAAAATTAATATTGTATTATATGAAGTATATTTAGCTTGACAGCAGAGAAGAGTACATACTAAAAATAAACAATAATAAAAAAATTACAACGCGTATTGACATTAATGTAAAGCGTTTTAAATTCGCATTGACACATAAAAGTCTAGACTGGAGTGAAGTTGACTAGACTAGACTAGACGAGTTTACTAGTACAGACTACGACTACCCCAGTCACTTTACAGTATATGAACAATGTGTCATTGTGCATCAGCCAATGTCGGTCTAACCAGCTGTTGCTATCTCAAAATTAACTCAACATACTTACTCACAGCGGCGAACTTTATGAAATTAGCTGCCCGATTTATCTAACTTTACAAAGTTAAGGCTCTTGCACCGTTAAATTATAATAACGATTTATACGTTTCAGTTCAGCAATTTGTATTTTAAGAAATTTAACCGCCAGAATTGGCTATTGGCTTTTAGCCAGCTTTTTTTTTTTTGCGTCACGATAACGTTATTACCGTTAACGTACGAACTATATAGTTATACTAATGTTTGTAATAATTAAGTTTTTTTTATTGACACAATTGGGCTTAATTTTTTTATTTTAGGTTTTATCAGATTTTTTTACCTTTAGATTTATTGGGTCTAAAAATTTTTTTTATCGATCGATGGAAGCTTATTAGATCAAATAATTATAATAGTATTTTAGGAATTTGTTATTATAAATATATAAATATTCAATGATTATTTTTAATAGTAGGATTTTAAATATAAATTTTTACTATTTCCGGGGGTAGTAAGAACGACTAAGTCAGCATTGAAAATATTACTAACGTAAAACGGTAATTGATATTATCGGTACATTTGAAAGTGCTTTAGTTAAATGTGACAGTAATCGATAAAAGTACCATTGGAGAAAATTCTACCGGAAAAAACATAGCTGATATAATTTAACCGGATAAATTTTAACAGTTGAGTAGAAATATTATTTCACGATGAATGAATATTACCGGTAAGGGTATTTTTTTTACATCCATTTAATAAATATTTAAATATTTTTTGCTTAAAAAAAAATAGAAGTGTCAATAATTTAATAGCCAAACTTAATAAATTAAATATAAATAAAATTGCTACTTAAATATAACGTTTTCATTTATAGAATAAATAAAAGTTGTATTGGAAAATAATTTAGTGATCAATTTTTAAAAATACATTTGAATTTGATTTAACGTAGAGTGAAGTGCTTGTCAATTAAATTCTTGCGAAACAACTATAAATATTGCATTTAAATTTTTGATACAAACTAAAAATAAAACTTTTCGTAGCTCGTCAAAATTTAGTTATTTTTGTCCTGTAAATTTATTGATTTATACGCTCAAGAAATGATAGTGCAGTAAATAACGAGTTGAATTAAAAGAAAAAAAAAATCACGACTAATTTTATTTTATAAATTTATCATCTAAAGAACAACTTGAAGACGTGACTGAAAACTTGAAATGTCGAAAATAAAAAAAAAATTAGTATCAACTTATTTTCTCAGTTATTTTATTTTTATTTTTTAGTATACAGTTCAATTGAAAGTTGTGATCGTTATTGGACTGATACATCTCACAACTAACACTACTATCGTTTCTCTTAGAAGAGAGCAAAGAGTACAAAGATAAGGATAAAGAGATACTGAGTTAGTCTATTTGATACTAAAAGAGAGGGTATAAAAGTCTGAGTAGAAAAATTGATCGTATCTCGCTTGGGTGTAGTTTTAAAGCACTAAAGGTTCTTACTTTTAAATTTAAAAACAAACTCCACGGGTGATTTCGCGTGATCGAACGCAATTATAAATCGAATTATCGGTTTGTTTAACAAATGAATTATGGTTTAAAGGTACGAATGAATCTGTTTGCTCTGCAAGCGCTTACATATTATCGAGAGCTGTTTGGTTACTTGGATAAATCTTTATTTTACTTGGAACATATAATTTTCCAAAGCAATTAATATTTTATTTCTAAGATAAAAAGTATACGTACGGTAAAATTTGATGGTACCATCCGTAGCCCCGAGAGAATTTTTGGAAATACATTTATACGATCCGTAGTCCGCCAGTTCCACTCTTTTTATCGTTAATTTCATGTGAACTTTGTACTCGTTCATTTGTAAACTATCTGAGTGAGAGGAAAATTCATATTTTTCACCTGGAAAAGAAATTTATGTATTAGTATGTAAATGGAAAAAAAATATTTAAAAATAGCCGGAAATTTTTTATGCTCTTGATTAGATTTTTTACTCTGACAAGTTTTTGTTTATTATATATTTTTTTGTTGAACCAAAATGGGAAATCTTGGATGTATGGGAACGTAGAGGAAAAATCGGTTTCGGTAGAATCACGTGAAAAACGTATTACATCAACCGGTGAATCGATGAGGGTTCTATGAATAGAAAGAGAACTTTCTGCTTACATGAAACTACTCACTGAATTCCAGAACAAATACGTGCATGGAATTCCTGAGGCGGAAATAACGTTATCACTGTTAAATCGCTGAACTTTTTCGGGCAACCGCGGAATTTAAATAATTCCCTATTAATTACATTGGGTGAATAAATAAATGCAATGATTATGGTGGTGATACTGGTTGTAGTAGAAGTTATTCCGTGACAATATTTTTTCAGGATTTAATAAATTCTTGTCGCCTGGAAATTCGATAATGAATGAAAGATAAACAGTTCTGGTATGTGTGTGATAGAAATCCATTTGAAGAGTAAATAAATCATTTTTATTTTAAATCGTGTGCAGGAATTGATTTATAAAAATTCTTTGACGTTTTAGTGAAAAAAAAAAATTGAAGGGTTTTTACGCTGATGAAAAGAGAGTAGAAAAATGTAGAGCAATTATTTTCTTGTATTAAAGATTAATTAAAATAGATTTAACAGAACAGCAATGCAGCAAAAAATGGCTTGATCCAATTACTGTGCAAGCAAGAAATGAAGACCAATAATAAATAGCCGCCAATCAGATGTGTTTAAAGTAAGAAAAATTAAACGAAAAAATTCTACTGATAGTACAATTCTTTTATAGTAAATATTAAGTAAAAAAAATTGATGAGAAAATTGTTACAAAAAAAATTGACTTTAACCATCTCATGTCAGCATAACTTCTATACAAATAACTCGGTAAAAATCGACCGAATTATATTCTATATACTTAATATTAAAGTTTAGTCACAAAATATAGTTGACAGTAATATTTTATTTCTTTTTAATAATCCATTAAATATATTTTTTTTTATTTTACTACTTTTTCTGAAGTATTTGATAATTTTTTTGTAAAAAAAAAAAATCAGAGGATAATTACCTGAAAAATATATCCTTTGCTTTTACTTTAAAAGAAAAATTTAGCGCCGTGCTGTGAGTCGTTAGTTGGAGAGAACGATATAATTAAGATTTTCTCAATGTTAAATGGCCGGTGATGTAATTAGAGCTACACGGTCTTTAATACGTACTCATTTCGAAGTTCATTGTGCGAAAATTCAAAGTCAATTGAAAGAAGTCTAACGATTGGATGAAATTGATAGGATAACTTATAAAAGCTCCGAAGTGAAGTTATAAAGTCTAAGAACAGCATAAAGTTTAATTGAAATAATAATTTTAGAGGCAGTGAATAAATAAAGAAAACAATATGTGGAAGAATAGATATATATGAAAAGTTTAACAGAAGAAAACGAAAGAGTTTCAACAGAAAAATGCATTTATGTAGTGGCGGTTGAATTCTGGTGAGCGGAAGAAAAACTTTCATCGTCTTAGAGTTTGAAAAGAAGATGAAAAAGTTTAACGACGTTGAACTACGATCTAAGCACGGTCTCTGTCGTCGCATCAGGTTGACTAGGTTTTCCCAAGAATACGACTGGTGCTCCTCTCAGCTTCTATACGCTACAGAAAACTCTTTCCAAAGAAATTATACGTATATATTTTTCAAGTAAGTAAGTTTTCGCCATAAGTTACTCTCTTACATTCACTTATTCATTTCGAAATATCTTAAATTCTCTTTTCTATTTATACATCTTAAAATATAATACCTTTTGCTTTCTAACTCAATTATTTTCATCCATCACTCTGCTATTCATTTATTATTATTATTATTATTATTATTATTATTATTATTATTCCAACTCATTAATTATATATTTACATTTAATTTATCTCACCTGCTTTGCATAAGCAAAGGAAAAGTTATTTCCATGTATTGAGAATAATTTTTGAATTTAAATTAATTTTGTTATATTTTAATTTTTATTGCAACTGTAATTGTAATATTTATTAATTTATTGTTATGATTATATAATAAAAGCATTGTTCAATCGAGTCGCAATAACAACGTCAGACTCGGTGGATACAATCCACATTCAGAATGCATTTTCCCCGGATAGGAAAAACAGCCGAGTCTCATGTTGAGCAAAAAAGTTGTCCCGTAATTCTTAGGATGTTCAGTTCTATACTGAGCAAAAGTAGTCGAGATCCCTGGAATAAAATGAGACAAAAAAAAGTGTTGTAAAAGATAAAGATAAAGAGTCTTGGAGGAAGTCAGCAAGAGGGGCAAGAGGAAGACAAGGATTCCGGGCAGGAGGCACATGCGCCCGACAGGCGTCACACCGACTTTACTTTTTTGTCATCAAAACGAAATTAACGTTTCGCACCGTATTATTTCCACTTTTATACCTCAGCAAGACGTAGATTATAAAATCTAGTTTACAAACTTTTATTATACTATTTTTTAATGTTTCCCTCTAGTCATGATAAACTCCGCCAGATATTTATCTACAATATACGTCATCATATTTATCATCTAATCTCGGTTTAATTAAACCCACTTAACTGTGACTCTATTTATTATTTAGATTCATTTAAATTACATTTTAATCATTTTTAAGCTAACTGAATAATATTTATCATTATTCTCGGATTTTTCAATTGAACCATTAACTTATTTTTTAGTTTAAAAGTTTTTCATTCAAAATTTTTTAGCTTCAAAGTCAAAGTAAAGTATGCGCCCAAATATTCATGACTTTCACTTAAACTTAAACTGTATTTACCTCAAAACTTATTCTCCCTTTAAATCGATTTTTCTTTTGTCTATCAAGCCGCTCTTTTTATACTTGGTTTAAAACAAATTTTATGAACATTATTATAAATAAAAAGCAGCGTGAAGAATTTTACGACAAGAATTGTATTACATTTTTAACTTCAATCTTCTGAAGAGAATTAAGTTACGATGCAGACGGTGAGAACAAATTTTTTGCTTATGCTAGCTCATAACCGCGTGTGGTGTAGTAATTTCGTAGTAAAAGATACATCAAAAAATTTTTTATAGTATTTTAAAGAACAATAAATAATGTTTTATCGTGTCATATGCGTCATGAGGGCGTATAATAGTTACCACCCTTATGGCTCCAGAGAACCGTAAGGGCTGATAAATTTTTCCTTACTGACCAATGTTATTTTGTTCGGAAAAAAAAATAAAAAAATTTTTTTTAAATATCTTTTCTCGTTAATTAAGAGAAGATAAAAATTTGAATATTCAAAACTTTTTTGGTCATATAAAACTATCATTAACAAATTTAGATATTAAAAACTATTAGGGAACTAAAAGTAAAAGAGAAAAAAAAGGTAAAACAAATTAGTGAACTAAATTGACTGAATTTAACAGTATTCAGCAAGAACACAAATTAAGTGAAGGTGCACAAAACCCCTAAACTGAAAACTTTGGGTTGACTTAATGAACTAAATACATGTAACTAACGAACACGCATCAGCTGACGTTCACACACAAAAGTTCCTGTTTAAGAGACAAACACATATCCCTGCCAGTGGGTGGATCCGCAAACTCACATTGCAGGATAAGTCAGTTGCATTAACAGAGCGTTGATTTATTAATCTGCATAGGACACAGTGTTGATGGGGTTCCTCTATCTACTCCTGATGCACCGACGTACAAACTCTAATTTACCACGATAGTACGACTAAATTTAGCGCGCGCTACTACCATGGCTGTGATAAACTTACAAATATCTGACAGTCATGGATATTAAGTTATGTCATAATCAATCATTTAGCTAGCAGTCAATAAAATTATAACGGATATTTACCATTTGATATAACCGAATCATTTTCACGTGTCCAATAATTAATAGCCTTAGGATATGCCTCGGAGTCGCATTCAAGTGTCATGTCCTGTCCTTCTTGTGCTCCTACCAACTGATTTTGTATCATTATCATCGGTGGAACTGCAACATTAATACAAATAAATCAACAGCTGAACAATACTGCCTATTGTTCTACTGAGATTAAACTCATCCTCTCTCGCTCAACCTCATTTTCTCAGCTTATGTACATGCAACAGATATGACGTAATACATATAAGATAAATACTCAGAGAGAGAGATTGTTCTAGGTTGTTCGGGAAATAATTGGGAGAAATAGGACAGTCCAAGATTTCAGTAAATACGAAATTAGTAATTTAAAATAATTGTGAAATTTAACTTTTTACTTCAAAAATATATTAATATACAAAAAAATTGTAAGTAAAATTTATTCTAGATTGAAACAAATTTTTTTTTAGTCTATAATGTCTGATTTGCAGAAAATTTTTTAATGGCAATTGAAAATTTATCTTATTGTCTTAAAGCATAAGTGAAAAGTAAGAGATTTGGTGAAGCCAAGATAAAAAAATGTACTTTTTGTTATAGATTTCCGTTTTTACCCTCTATATGTATATACAAACGTAGCACTACTATTGGCACCTGAACAATAATTTAACTTCTTTCTCAGATGAACCGGAAACTGAAGACAGAAACCCGTGGGACGCAAAAGAGACGAATGAGCGGATAAAAACCCTGACAGTATATTTGGCGTAAGAGGGGAAAAAAGTAAGTAAAAAGATAGGTATATCTATAAATACAAACAGAAAAATAGGTTTTACCGTCAATGTCTCTCTAGAGAGCCGTTCTGGGATTCTTAATATTAGTAACAGTCAACTGTCGGACTAACAACCTATTTTCTCCTCTTTTATATCTTTTTTACTTTATTACCATTAACATTATTATTATTACTATATATCTTGGTGACGTAAAACACACGCCTATAAGTATACAGGAGGTGAACAGGAGGTGTATAGGGGTTCATTGATGTTCGATGACCGCAAATGACAATTAAAGCTCTCGTTTGTGTTATTAAGTTCGGACAGATATGTCAATACAGACTACTCACAATGAACGATGAGCATTATTCTCTTGCTGACACTCGGTGGTACCCCATTGGAGGCTATGCACAGATATGCTCCCATGTGGAGTCGATTTACCCTCGTTATGTTCAATGTTGATCCATTAACACTCGATACAGCTGTTGAACATTGTTAATATTCATCATTCTTTATTATCGAATGACACCAGTTATTCATTTCATTTATCATGCTTATTAAATTAATATCAAATATTTAATTTATTTATCAAACTGTTTCGACATTTAGTCAAATTAATTTTAAACTTATTTGTTAGTCTAAAAATTATAATTCTCATTCAATTTACAAACAAATTTTTTTGTTAAAAAAATATCAAAATATTTTCAATAAATTTCTTTTTGTAATTTTTCATTTAAATAATTTTTTGTACATCTTTAAAATGTTTTTATGCTATTTATCAAATTAATATATATATTCTCTAATTTAATTTCAAATCTTGATATAAACTAACCCCATTAAAATGATAAATATTCAATAGCAAACTGTTGACATCCCGAGTACAGTGAGACATTTAACAAAGACCATGTGTTTTTTGTGCTTATATTGTACTCTATTCACTATACCCCTCAACTTCTCCGTGACTTTTGTAGCACTAGTATAAAAACTATTTAATCTAAGCACTAACTTTGAGCAGACATACATATATAGTATTTGCGAGTCTGCTAGTAATTAAAATACTAAAGTTTATCTAATAAAAAAACTAAATCCCTATACAAGAAATTTATTAAAGTAAACTTATTATTTTTTTAGGAAAAAAAAAAAGAATCTTTTGATAAGAAATAACCACACTAACCTAATAAATTAATTATCAAGCATTAGGGGATTATTTAATTAAATGATAAAGAAGGATAGTTTTTTTTTTCTACCGCGCAAAGAAGTTGCGTGAGAATTTAATCGGTAAAATGAATCACATATACATGGAGAGTGATCTCTGTTGGGTTATCTGATGGCAACTCATAGCCTCGCAACACGATAATTGAGTTGAGTGTGTGTATCGCGATAGCGTGTTTAACTACCATGAAGCTTTGTAACTGCGTTCAGAGACCCTGTTGCTGATTGATTCGCACCTTTGTCGTCACCTCTTTAACACAAAAACTCCCTATATGAAATATACACTACCAAGCTAACTAACAGCTTCTCACTTTCATATTTATCGATAGAGCAAATTCCTCCGACATAAATTAATAGTTTGTTATTATATTTAACAGTAGCACGCTACTATTCTTTTGAGTTTTATTTGAAGCATACCACCGCTTTCATCGTAATTATCATTATCATTATCATTACCATTGTGGTTATTTATTGTCAGTTGAATTCTCTAGATCACGATAGTCGCCAGTCACGACTTGCTAGATGCAGACTTTCTGAGTTGCAAAATGTAGTTTATCATTAATGTGTCGCGTGATAGTTTCCCTTTTAGTCTATCTGTCTGTCTGTCTATCTGTCTCTTTGAAGAGACGTGATATATGTGGCTTACCATCAAATACCACTGCAACATAATTTTATTTTCCTTTTCCACTCGTTTGGGTATGACCACATTTATTATCCGGGATATTACATACGGGACATCATTCAATGTCACATTATTTTCACGCATCCAATTAATTTAAACGTTCCCAAAATTTTTTATCATTATTGTATTTTTTAAAAATACAATAATAAGCTCTTAATAAGATTTAGTCAATTAGGAGCAAGGCTTAGTTTAAGTACTGACGTAAAGGGCACATACTGCTGAACGAGAGTCTCGTGATTCTTTGAAGCAAAGTTCAACCAGGAGCAGAATAGAAGCTAAAGTGACACAGAAGCCCCTTTTGTTGAACGTAGATGAGAATGAAGAGGGACAATTACCCTAGGCTTCAATGACTCCAGAGTATCTCTTAAGCAACAAGTTGCTGAGTTGCTCTAGATGACTGCTATATAATATATAATAGTATAGACTCTTACCTCGATTTAGTGAATTTGATAATTCGATAATATTAAAAGGCTCGAACGTCTTACGTTGATACGCCGGGTCGATTGGTTTAAGTTTCGCTAACTTTTTAGTTTTTAGTTTTTAGCTTTTAGTTTAAGCCGGTGTTGATGATAAACACGGCGAATCAATTCGTGCTTCGGTAAATTCGCGATTCTTGTTAAAGCTCAACTCGCTACTCGCTAAGTGGACTTCCTGTTACTGCTTTGCTGATGTTACTTTTGCTGACTGAGATTCTCTTAGTTGTAATCTTTGGCTTTACTAACAGTCGGGAACCAAAGTTACTTTGATAACTTTGGGATCGTTAAATAATAGAAATTGGTATATTGCCAACCTCAATAAGCAATCGTTGTTAAAACTATAGTAATGATAATAATAATAATAATAATAATAATAATAATAATAATAATAATAACAACTATAATAATGATCGGAGGACTTCGTACTATTATTACGGATAGATAAAACTTAAATTTCCAATTAGTAACGAGTTTTTGGTAATTTTAAATATATATTCGATTTTTTATATTAACTATCTTATCGTATTTGGCATAATAAACTTGAGCGTTTTATTTTGAAGAAATAAAAATATTAATAATTAATTAAAAAATTAAGATGAACTCTTATGAAAGGAAATTATAAAAAGCTTTCAACTAAATTATTATTGTTATTAATTCAAAATACTTTTAATTAATTATTTAAAAAATTTTAATGATTATCATCCTTCAACAACATGATCATATTTAAGCCTTTATAATTCCAAACTCAATTGTATAAATATTTATGTTATTTTATAAATACTACTTTGTTTAAAATAGATCATTAATAGCAAATGTGAATCGTAATATTCGTGAATAAAACATGCAATTAATATAATAGTGAATAATAAATACATAACGTGTTTAATTACCTTCGTCATTCACCCCTAAAGCAATAGCCTCGCCGGATTCTCGTTTCCATGTGATATTTGGTTGCGGTGATCCAGAAGCGGCACAACGTAATGTCACGTTACTGCCCTCTCTTACAACCATATCTGTGCTTGTTGGATAGTCCAGAATATCCGGAGGCACTGATTATTAAAAATAAATTTATTGTTATTATTATTTTTACTATAATTTTCTACAGATAAACATTGAAGCAAAGTAGACTAATAAATGTATAGAACTCCGAATAGACATACCTACAACTTTGAGTTGGCCAACTTGGCTAATCATTGGATCGGTATTTATTTGACACATGTAATCACCTTGATCGCTTTCACGAACGTCTCGTATGTGCAAGTACCATATCCTATGATCACTATGTGTGACTGCAATTCTGTGGTTCTTGGTGATAACGTGAATGGCAATCGTTAGTATTGTCTGTGTATTTACTTGAAGCCACGCCACCTGCAAATTATGCAATAAGCTTTAATTCACTCGACTAACAGTAAGTGGAAATTTCAGTATCGGAAATAACATTTATTACATCTCAATCGTTTATAATATCCAAAGGTATCATTATCGTAATTTGTGACATTAATTAGCAATGAGATGATTGGATTGCTTTACAGTCTGCGTCATTGAATTCAAGCTAACTATTCGGTTAAAATTACAACTTGAAGTCTCTCGTACAAATTTAAAATAATTACAATAACTACGTGGTTCTTTCCATCAATAAGTATGATTTGTGATAAATATACTTTTAAATCAACAGTAACAATAATGGTTCAAAGTCTTCACGCGTTGATGTACTCTGTGGTATAACAGATTGTATAATATATTGAAATAATGGAGGAGATGACATTGTGTTCAGTGGTTACTGCTATAATGTTATCGTTACAACTAAATTTATATTTAATTTCCTTTGAGTACCTGGCCATTGTATTATTTAATGGATACATATTAGGTTTGAGTTTCAGTAAAATAGCAGCTAATAGTCTGTATTATGCACGTAATGTACGCAACTGAATTAGTTATACTGTCGATATTCGTTATCTAGAGGAAACAGTGATAACTATACATAAGTAAAGTTCCATAAAAAAATTCTCTGATAGTTACATGTGTTATAAAATTTCCTCATACGGTCTTATATAGAAATTGGGCATACATGGATATACCAAACCGTATATGAACATACCTGGCTTGATATGTCCTGAAATGTCCTGTTAATATAGTCATATACGGGCCAGACCAGGCCATATCAGAACAGTTTTTTATGGGGCATTTCATTATGGGATAGGTTCAAATATCATACTGCAGTAAAGAAATATTATTTTTTAATGTCGAAGGAGTTGTCCTTTCGGGTGTGTGTGTTGTATAGTAAAAACACGGCAATAAAGGGGTGACAGCTAGTGGCTGTCATAGTAAAGGGCAGACCATTTTCATGCAATATTGAACAGTGTACATGTGCAGATGTTTGCTTCGTATAAACTGATGGTTGTACTTCGTTTTATTTTAATTTTAATTTTTTAATAAAGTAATTAGTTTGAAAATAAAAAAAAACAATATGAATCACAAGAAATTCAAAATGAAGAAAAAATACTTTTCTAGGAAGTAATGAAGAAAATTATTGAAGTTATACTTACGGGTTGTTAATAATGTATTACTTTTTTGATATACTAAAATTTTAATTAGTCATTATCGACTAAATTTCCGTGCTAAGTGCTAATTATTTTCATCAGTCTTGGAGATTTTTATTTCATGAAAAATTAAACGTCAAAAATAAAAATGTTAGTAATTGATGCGCTCATATTTTTATTAAAAATTCAAAAACTTATTCAGGAATTTTTTATATTTATTTTCGGTTACAGAGTTTGCCTATTAGCAAGGATTAATTTTTCAATAGCTTTGGAGCATTATAAAACTTTATCTCCAATTATTTTAAAAATTGATGGTTTTGTAATCCTCTAAAATACATTCGAGTTATAGTCTGCTAACGAGCTTCAAAAGATAATATATTAAAATTATAACGTTCAATCATTAATTATATGTGCCTCTAGAACCGAAAATATTCATCAAAGTCAGTTGTTTAAACGAAAGTTAATTATCTGTGGTTGGAATAAACTATTTCAACATTTAAAAATCTTGTAAGAGTCTTATGAATAAATATATATTCAGTAAAAGAGGATTGTAGTTTTATCCAGATGTTTACAAAACGCTCAAGCAAATAAGTGCTGATAGTATGAACGAACATTAGAAAGCGAACAATATATTTTACAAAATTAACTCTAATGGAATAAATAGCGATACAATTTTTTGTCACGCGGAAAAAGTGAATTATTTTATTATCTATTCAAAATAAGTCATTCAGTTTTTCATATATAATTTGAAACTATACGGTATAGGTGTAAAGTATTGTGTCGCAATAAATAAAACCGAGTACTAAAGTACAGTGTCATAATGTGTTATACACTACGTAGTATTACCGGCGTTATAAAAAACATACATATATACCCTTTTTTTACACTCTTGAAATTATGTAGCACATTATTCTTTTCAGCTCATACTCATATTTTTCTTGAAACAAAAAAAAAGTTAAAATGAGGGAGAGAAAGAGTAAAGGAAAAGATAAGTAAATAAAAAAGAAAAATGAAAACGTATTTTGTTGATAGCCGTAATATATATATGTATAAAGCTGATATTGCAGACATTATTACTGTTAATATTATTTTGTTACTTTATACAGATACTATAAAAGCGGAAATTTGAAAAAAAGTATACATGCAGTCCTATATAATCCAAAGCAATTCCCCCGGATACCATAACTCTGTACTCTGGATTTCCGATACTTTTATTTTGTTACACCGAGTAATAATACGAATTTTATCGAGTTGCGTAACCGTGTCCCACTGGCAAGCAGCTGAAAATTCAATTGACGATCAAAAGCTTGTAACAATAAAATAAAATAATAATATTGTTACTATTTCATAATAGCGAAAATTCGTTCGAGGTTCCTCGATATCCGGAGTGTCAATGACTTTTTATTGATTATTGGTTGTTGACTGTGTTTGTTATTATATAATATACCATAAGCTATTCAACCTGTAGGTGAATAGTACGAAGAGTTATGATCGATGCATTGAGCAATTTTTATTTGGTTGAATTAAACATTTTTTTATTATGATTAAATTCTGTAACTCACTGATGTACAAATAACTTTTTTATACGTACGTTTTTTATTTTTTTTCAGATATTTAGTGTATTGTCTGGCGGAATAATTGATCAACTAGACAAAAAGAAAATTATGGGAACTGTTTCCCTAATTTAATGAAATTTTTTCCTGTAGCATTATAAAAATTTTCAGAACTTTGTTTCCATCCATTAGTAATTAAATAATGGCGCCGGTATTTAGGATTGACATCCACTTTGACAACTATAGAATCAATGAAAGCTCGACTTATTATGTAATAATTATTATTAGTAATTAATAACATATTAATAATACTGTGGCTTTGTACCATTAGCTTTGTTTTTGATCTATTTTCCATTATATGATTTATTGGTACTTAACTTAATGCATAGTACAGTCATGAATGTGAGTAAGTAAAAATCAATTAATTACTTCTATTTAATATTATACAAATGTTTCAAACAAGAATAATTTTTTCAGCAAATTAAATTTTACTTTGAAATTTCATGGAGCTTTCTAATACTTGACACCGACAGCTTAATGATTATATTCCGTAGCGAAAAGATAAATAAATACTCATTTGTATATTTGTGTTTCCATATTATGCTTAAGGAAACTCTTTGCTCTGTAAATTAGTTGTCAGACTGAGTTAACACAGTCACTCCTTCCCAAGAGTCTTTAAGGTTAGTCTTTGTATCCAAAGAAATTTGCACCAAAGAAATACACTGCCTGATCAACACTCAATTATTAAAATTCAAGACAACAAAGTACAAAGCTCTGTATATTTAGAAGTTGATCAACTCACTAATAATACTGAATGAAAAATAAAAGTACATTTTTAAATATTTAACCACTTATTTTTCCAAAGGTGCGTTAATGATTTGTAAATTTATTTATCCATTAGAAGAACACGAAGTAATTTTTCAATGTTTATAAGTACAGTTGCTTTATATTGAACCGCGTAAAAAAATATACAAAGTTCTAGAGTATTATTTTGATGTGAATTTTTAACTTGCAAGTTTTCAACTCTTTGTTGAAAAATAACATAGACATTAATTTAAATTATTTTCCATTAATATTTTAATGACTACGGTTATAGTGTAATAATAAATTATGATTATTAAATTGCGGAGTATACACGTGACTTCTTTTATTTCGGCTGAATAGTTCCCCTAAGTGATATTAATTAAAGGTCCGGCGCTTTCAAGAGGATAATTATTATAATTTAAGGGAGCAAGAGAAATAATTATCGAGACAGCAAGTATGATATGTTAATATGATAGTTGACAAATAATTATCATCGAGCGTTGTCGAGTATTCGTATTCCTACAATTAATTTAATAATCAAATGATAATAGAGCGATTGAAATAATCATTTACAATACTCAAATACTTTCTCGATGAATGGATAATTCAAGCATTTATTATAATTACCGTGTGAAAATGAATGATTTCTAAATTTTTAATTTAAATATTAAAAAGTTGGAAGTAAATTTTGAAATTTACATATAAAGTTTTGAAGTTTTAAAAAGAACCAATGCGCTTGAAGTCAAGCATAGAATTTTCATGTGCTTTAAGAGTTTTAATTTGCATAAAAAATTTTTAACATCAGAGTAAGTATATAGTACTTTTTCAATTTTTGAATTAATTTTTTCTCTACTAAAATAGCTTTTTTTGACTGAAAAAATAGGTTATAAATAAAATGTTCCTGATTAAAGAGTTTTAACAGTAGAAATTGAAATTATTATCATGATAATTGACAATTTTCACTGATAACTGCTTCGATAACAATTATTACTAATTAAACAAACGTAGCTACTGTTATTAGTAACACCATTAATTGTTTCTTTTTAGTATTAAAACACGAAATTAGATTAATTCAGTAGAATTAACGATTGTGCTCGAAAATAAGATATTAATAGGTCTTTAAATATTTTAATGTGTAATGGTACGATATTTCACACCGTGAACATTTACCGGTGTATATTCACACCAAGTCAACCGTGCTGAGCCCTTGGGGATCATTTTCGCAGTGTTTTTTTTTTTCTATTTCAGTAGAAGTGAATATAAAAATAAAATACACAAGACTGCGGTATTAAAAATAAAAACAACACGTTAAAAAGTAAGTAGACAATTTAATGCCTGTAATTTTTTATGGAAAAGATATTTTATGTTAAAGAACGTGTTAATTATAAAAAACACAACTAAATTGAAAACTCAACATTTATTTGGTTTTGTAAAATTGATGAACTAATATATGACTTTATATTTTACTGCGATGGAAGGAAATTAGCTGTTGAAGTTAAATTTATTTAAAATAAAAACCAACGTGTCCACATTTTGATGTAAATTAAATTGCGGTGACGTAAAACCAATTTTTTATCAACAAAATGAAATCTAGTCTATTGTTGAATGAAAATAATACTATATGACCTGGTTTTTTGGTGTGTGTCAAAACTGATGTTAAACACCGACGCGAAGTCAGAAGGAAAAAAAAAAAAAAAAAAAAAAAAAGGAAAGAGGACTCGAAAAGTACGACGAGAGTTGGCAGCTTAATTTCGAACTTTGGCTCACGATTGTATAAACCCTGGTTTTCTCTTGTGAAAAGAACCTACCCACAACGCTAGATATCTACAAATATATCTATACATTATGTTATATCTATAATGTGGAAACTGACTCTAGCCGAGTAACTTCTGTGAAGGTTTTACGCCTAGTAAAAGTACGTCTTATATATTTATATATCACGTTTGAAACGAATTAAAGCTCAAAAATAAATGTTTTAGTCTATATCGCATAATGTAGATATTTTATAAAATAAATATATTTTCATACTGTAAATGAATATTCTGTTTATTCAAAGTGAAATGAATTTAATAAATTGAATGCTTGTCAGAAGTTTCATTCGAGGTTAAACTGTTTTGTGTAATTGTTTTTGACATGTTTGTAATTAATTTTCTCCGAAAAAAGGTTTAAATATTTCATAAAAAAATCATCAGATGATTGAGAATTTTCAAAAATTTTGTGTCGTCAAAAAATTATTGAATTTTTGTTAAAAATTTTAAAACGT